CCCAATAAATTTAATGTGATTAATTTCAGAGTAAACATTCATACACTGGTGTTGCATATTGCTTTCAAGGAAATCAGTGGGATGAGAGGTGCTTAACTTCAGTTGTATTGTGCCTCGTCACACATTAAGGTGTCATTTTTGAGGTAAATGAGCACCTTATATTTTCTGTGTTATCTTAATCTGGGAGACTGTGGAGCGCATGTAATGCTGGAGCGGGGGAGAGAATCAGGAAGCTGATGGAGGAAAGAGCATTGAGAATAAAACATTCCTTCTCTACATGTCTTTCCCTAGGCAAAGATGTGTCACATGTTTTGAATGTACTTGTGAATTCTGTCTTGCCTGCTAAGGGACAAAAGCAGAAATCTGTACTCAGCATGCTAGCATCCTCTTGTTATTGGATATGGGGGTTAGATATTATTTCTCGGTTTCTAGTCTTTCATTATAATCTACATTCGCATCATGGAAAGAGGTCTGAGAACTTGTGGGTGAGAAAATGGAGTCAGTAAACCCTTGTTTCAAGGCTTTTGAAGTCTGTAGGATTATATGACTATCTTCATTCATTTCAGTGGTTGGTGAAACAGATTTTTCAGAGGCTGAAAAAATCTTTCTGCTTTTCTGATCTCTGATTAGAATGGATTGTGCAGATATTTATTTACTTCATGTTTCCATTCCCAGTTCACCATCAGACCCCAAAATATGTCTGAAATGTGAGGTCTCCGATAGCAGACTAGGCTCTACTTATTCGACACTGAATTTGCTCTTGGAAACAGCAGTTTGAAGGGTACTGAGTGAGCATAAAGAACGCCACCATGCTGCACATTCCATGCCTACGCAGGAACTGCAGAATTACATTCTCTTAAGTATTGTCCAGACATTGGAATCTGTTAATGTCTGCAGATTGCACTATTTGCTTCCAACCTTTAAAAAGTTATGTTACAATGTAGGCATTGCTTGTTATTATAATTGATCTAGACCTTAATAGGTTGTTTACAGTATCTCTAATGCATCTTCATAACAATCCTTTAAAGTACCAGCAGGTGGATGGTGTAATGGCTTAGGTAGCCACTGCCTGCTGAAGCTAAGTAGGGTCGAGCCTGGTTAAACAATCCTTTAAAGCAGCTTATTAATATTCTCTCTAACAGAAAGAGAAGCCAGGCACTGCGAGTACCATTTGCCCTATAAACACCAGAGTGTTTATAGCTATGGCTGCTATAGCACTTCATCCGTAATCATTGTATGACTAAGCTGTTCATATTTTAGTTCATAGCTATTAAAAACTTCTGCTAGGATGCTTCCATATTTAGAATCTTCGACGCTGCTGAAACATTGCTTTTCCGGACTTAACTGGAAGCAGAATCAACACAGCAGTTAATATAGTGTCCTGTTATCCAGCAATGTTCATCCCCATGGCTGAGATTATTTTTACAATGTTTACACGTTATAATGGTTACGCAGTCCGCAAAGCCCTCTCTAACTTTAAATAGAACTGATGTCCCTGCCATTTTACCTCTAATTGCTTCCTGTTTGGTGTGGTCACAGTGTTACTGATGTATTGCCCTTTGAATAGTTAGTTCCTGTTCCCTTCAGGCTCCCATACACAGATCACCCTTCTGTAGAAAGTGAAGAAATCCTACACCCAGAACCCATATGTGTACATACAGCGCTCCAGCACCATGTCACTGACACAGTCAGCTTTGAACTTACTTGCATACTGTAGAATGTATTCTCCCTTTCATATTCTGGTTGAGGATGAATGCTCGTACAGAATTTAGAAGTCTACCTGAATTGAGTTTTTTGTTTGTTTTAAAGGAAAAGCAAATTCCCTGTCTCCATGAGAAAAGAATAGAGTCACACATAGTCTGAAGTTCTGGTTTTAAATGTAGAACTCAGACATGATTTTCTAGGAATGCAGAGTAGTGTTGCTTCGACATCTGGCCCAATGGTTGGGAGCCCTCTATACCTAGCACTGGATATAAGAGTGGCAACCAGTTCAATTTACTACCAGAAATGTCAGGAAGGACTGCTTGGGGACTGATGCCCCTTGCTTAATGCTGCTAATTTGTCTGCAGTCCTCTGCCCATACCTCCCTCCTTCTTCAAGTGCCTTATTCTACTCCCCCATGGCAAAAAGTTCCACATTCTTTAAAAACCAGAGCAGAATAAATTATGTAAAATAAGATAAGCTTGGAAGCAGCCTGTTTCATTCCTTCAAGAGTTTGGGAGGTTTTTTTTGGTTGGTTTTTTGTTTTTAATTAAAGAGCACTGAATACCAGACAGACATCTTGAGCTATGAGAAAAGCACATGTCTGGTTATAAAAGTTGGACAGAGAGAGCTACCTCCCACTTCTAGATGGGGACAGCAATCTGATATTCATACTATGTTGGGATCAGAAATATGCCACTGCTACGCCGACTGGCAGAATAGCCACCATATCCAATGCATACTCAGCCCAGGAGAGAAGGAGAAAGATACACAACTGGAAAATAATAATAAAAAAGCATCCCTGGAAAGAGGGCCAGCCCTACCATTTGGTAGGTGGCTGCCTCGGGCGGCAAGTGATGGAGTGGTGAGAGGATAGTGGTGGCAGCCTCACCATCTGCTTCTTCTGAGTTCTCCTGGCTGTTTCCATGTATTGCTGGACAGAGCTGTGTGTGCTACAGCTACTGCATCACCTAAGCTAACTGACTGCCCTCAGGGATGGTGGAAGATACCAGACCAGTTGACTTCTGTATGTAAAAATGGGGTTGGTACCATGTTGTCCTTTGCCTCCTGCAGCAAAATATCTAGGGCCAACCATGCCCTGGAAACTGCCAGTGCCCACCAAGCAGGGACATGTCCCCCACAAATGAGGGAGCCAATGAACTCAAGATGACAGGGACATACACACCCAGCACATATCCCTACACACATCCACAGCACACATCCACAGAAACAACACATGCAGAAATGCTGCCCTGGCTCCGTCCATCCCAGTAGCACAACCAGCAATGAGCCTGCTGTGGCTAGTCCTTGTTGTTGTTGTTTAGTCGTGTCCGACTCTTCGTGACCCCATGGACCAGAGCACGCCAGGCACTCCTGTCTTCCACTGCCTCCCGCAGTTTGGTCAGACTCATGCTGGTAGCTTCGAGAACACTGTCCAACCATCTCATCCTCTGTCGTCCCCTTCTCCTTGTGCCCTCCATCTTTCCCAACATCAGGGTCTTTTCCAGGGAGTCTTCTCTTCTCATGAGGTGGCCAAAGTATTGGAGCCTCAGCTTCACGATCTGTCCTTCCAGTGAGCACTCAGGGCTGATTTCCTTAAGAATGGAGAGGTTTGATCTTCTTGCAGTCCATGGGACTCTCAAAAGTCTCCTCCAGCACCATAAAAATTCAAAAGCATCAATTCTTTGGCGATCAGCCTTCTTGATGGTCCAGCTCTCACTTCCATACATCACTACTGGCAAAACCATGGCTTTAACTATATGGACCTTTGTTGGCAAGGTGATGTCTCAGCTTTTTAAGATGCTGTCTAGGTTTGCCATCGCCTTTCTCCAAAGGAGCAGGCGTCTTTTAATTTCGTGACTGCTGTCATCATCTGCAGCGATCATGGAGCCCAAGAAAGTAAAATCTCTCACTGCCTCCATTTCTTCCCCTTCTATTTGCCAGGCTAGTCCTTACATATGCCTTATAGGTAGGAGTTAGAATTCCTATTTTTCAAGAACCTTTTCAGAGCTCAAGGCACAAAGAGAAGGAGAGAGAGCTCATGCATTGCTGCACCTACAGAGCTCCCTGAGCAGGGGACCAGCAGGAAGCACACACAGCTGTCCTGGGAGAAGGGTTCATGATCTACCCAGGGAGGAAACAGTTTTGCCTAGCAGCCCAGGGCAGGGACAGACCCAAACTGGAAATGTCTCCCTGAATAAGCCATGGGGCTAGGAAGCAGGAGGGTGTGTTTTGCCTCAAGTGGCAAACGGGATGCATAGGCCCTGAATAAGAGTGAAACACCAATGGCAGTTTGGAATTACTGTGGCCTATTCAGATGGAGTGGAGGGAAAATGAAGAAGGAAAAGCTGGAAGATGAATACACTACAGAAACCATAATCTCAGGGTTCCTCCCTTCCCCTTTTATTGGCAAATTGTAGAACAGTCTGGACTTGGCTGAAGAGTTGTTGCTGCAGAGAGAAGTCATTATGAGTTTAATAAGAATTCTTCAAATGTTTCAAACCCCAGTGTTAATCTAGCACATCAAGGCTGAAAACTGCATAGCTCGAAGCTGAACATGGAATCCCAGTAAGCAATTCCAGTCCTCTGAGAGCAGCTGGATCAACACATTAGCAATGAATCATCAATTCTGCTGCTGATTTTCTCCCTTATTAATGAAAACATCCATGTCTTTCCAAGTTTACATAATCTAGGGTCACGTGGTTACTGCTGCAAAACAAAAAAACTCTTCTAAGACCTCATTAGAGGAAGATAAATGTATGAATAGACTATTTTTGTCCATTTCATTCCTTGGCCAGCAGCTGCTTTTGCTGGAAGGCCACTTTGGCTGGGGTGGTGGCAGGCTAGGTCTCCAACTCCCTTTCTCCCAAAGATCCTCCTGCCAAGTTCTAGCACTCCAATGTTCACCTCTCCACCCAATTTTTCATCTCTTGGTTGGCAACAGGGGGTGGGGACTGCATTTTGCCCATGGGCCTCCAGCTGCTAACCACTATACAGCAATGCTTGTTCATGCTGATCACGCTCCAGAGTACTGTAGTTGGAGTCATTATTATGAGTTAGAAACACAGTATGAAATCTGTGTTTCTTTCAGTATTCATCTGAAAATTCATAAGCACTTAATGTTGGGTTTATGCCCATTTAGTACCTCCAGCAATGAGAATCAGGGGATGTTAAGGCACAGCTGTTATGCAGAGTTGGGCTGCAAATGCTCCAAAGCTGTGGGAGTTCCTTCTCCCTTGGTACTATGTAGACACCAGACTTGGTAGCTGGTAATAGATGAGGAAGGACTATTGGTGAAGGGTCATATAGCTCAGTGGTAGAGCATCTGCTTTGGATGCAGAAAATCCCAGGTTTAATTTCCTCATCTCTAGGTAAGGCTGGGTATGTCTTCAGTTTGGAGCTGCTGTCCAGTAGATGATGCTGGATAGATGGACCAATGGTCTGAGGAAATTTCCACTATTCCTAAGCTTGGCTGAAGTCATTGCAAGAGAAGCCTATTAATGGTATTTTCCTAATTATAGCTGCTTCTCAAAGGTCGACTGAATCATGACATTTACTAGAATGAATAATAAACAGCTTTAGGGTCTTCCCAATCTCATATCTAAGGGATAACTGCTGGGGAAAATACGTTGGCTTAAATACACACACACACACGAAAACAACAACAACCGGGGCTCTTAACTGTTAGAGAAGCAAGGTGCATAGTGTCCAAATAAAATGTAATTTTTAAACAGTTATAAAATAATTTTACAATTATATGATGGGGTGGGGGAAACAGCTCTATGTTTCAATGACTACAATAAAAATGAATATGACACACATGACATACATGTACAATACACAGCTCTGCAAGAGAACTTTTAGGACTCTGAAAAGCTATTGGTAGATAACAATGGAATGAGCTCTCAAACCTGCTACCTTGAAATTATGGTCTCTTGGTGACCTGGTAGTAAGCATGTGCCATTAGGAAAGTACTGCATTGTTCATGTAACACATAACCTGCCCAGGTAATACAATGTAGGAAGCTAAGGCCCTACTATTGTGTATGTGTCATTCCTCCTCCTGGCACTGATAATAGCATCATAAGGCATTTCAGATTGTCTGTTCTACTGGAGTCTGGAGCACGAACCTGTCAGCAAAATTTATTGGAAACTCCACCACATGGAACTCATGGAATTTCCTGTTCCTCTTATGAGTTTTGCTCTCCCGGATTTAAAAACATTGTACTTAAGGTAAAATGGCTTTAGTCAACATAAGTGCTACAGGTAAATTCTACTTCCACACACTCTGGAAAAAAACACAGCCTCTTTCAACAATGTAACCGATATAAAAATAAAAAGGCCAAGCAATGCACTTTTAGATGCTGACTCAGTAATTTACTAGCCATTATGGAACATCAAAGAAAAGTTAAATCATAACTGTTGGTGGCAACAGATAAAGGAGCCCCAGTCTGATTGAGAAGGAGAAACCAGACTGGGGAGATGCAGAAAGGTCTACCTTGGCATTCCTCAGAAGCTAATCAACAATGGTGGAGAAGTTGCCCTGAAAGACAACTTGCCCACCATCCTATCCACAGCTGCAGGAAAGTCTGAATGTGTTCAAGAGTACACATGCTCATTTTACTATAGCTAGAGGCCACAGAACAGACTGGTGTCCTTTATAAACAGAACGTACAACTGAGAACACACAACCCCCCACAAAAAAACCCAGACATGTAGGGATTCTCAGTAGACAATTCAGTGTGGAAAGTTTGCACTCAAAGCAAAGCTCTTGAAAAGCACTTCTCTGTGCACATGACCTATTTCCAATTTTAAATGTGTGGTATGACTTAGGCTGCATCAACAATAGCATAGTGTCCAGATCACAAGAAGTCATAGTTCCACTGTATTCTGAGCTGGTCAGGCTGCATTTGGAGCAATGTGTCCAGTACTAGGTGCTCCGTTTTAAGGAGGACATTGGCATACTGGAGAATGTCCAGAGGACGGTAACCAGGATTGTGAAGGGCATGGAAACCAGATCATATGAAGAGTGGCTGAAAGATATGTTTAGCCTAGGGAGAACAGAAGATTAAGCAGAGACATGATAGTTGGCTTGAAATATCTAAGCGGCTGTCACACAGAAGATGGAGCAGACTTGTTCTCTGTTCCTTCAGAGAACAGGCTATATCCACTGTGAGTCATACTCAAAGCTGACCCACTGAAAATAATGGACATAGCTATTTTAGAGTCTACTTGGAGTTGGACTTCCTGGAGGCGGCGCGAAACGGCAATGGCGGTCCTCTTCGGTCTCTGAAGAGGGGCTCCGCAGAAAAGGGTCGTCCGCTGCGGCACAGCGGTGACCCATTAAGAAAAACCACGGGCAGAGTGAGCCCGTGGCCGTGGGACTCGGCGGGCACCAGGAGCGACCCCAAAAACGAAGAAGGACCCCCGTAAGGGGCTCCGGACACGTGGAAGGGGGAGCGGTGCTGTGAGTTCATCGCTCTTTCTGCGGGAGCGAAGCCGCGCGGCTGCTGCTGATGAGCGCCGACCTTTCTTCTTGGAACATCAGGCTCTAAACTACCTACTCGTGAGTAAGGATCAATCATTTTGGGACTAAAAGTGTTAAATTTGGCTGAAAGCGGGAGACGATAAACAGGAAGTCCGTCTTCCGGCAGTGCTTTAAAGATCAAAGGCAAAGATTTTAACAAGCGGGAAGCAACTTTAAAAGATTATAAATTTGGGACTATCGTGTTGATAGAATTGGCTTTTAAAAAGAAGGAGAAAAGATTTTTATTTCTAAGTGTTTTGGACTTTAAATGGGACTTTCCTCCCCTTTATGGATTACAAAGAATTAAGAACCAAACCTCGGACTGACAGGAAAAAAAGAGAGCTGTCATTGCGGAAACTGTATCCAAAATAGAGACTGTTATAGTTGAGTGATACTGGCAAGATACAATTAAATAAACTGTTATTGGCACCTTTTATCTGAGACTTTGTGGCAGCTTGGGAAGTGCTCTGTAAGCTAAAAAAGTTTATGAAGAACTTTTGGTAAATTAGATTGTTTTGAGGCTGCAGGGACTTTAATGGCGGATAAAGTTCTTTCCTTTCTATGAACTACAGTAACACTCCCCCTAGTGGAGTTTTGGAATTACAAGTGCCTGGGAACAAATTTTATTTGGACTATCTGCTGCTCTGTTATTTACACTTTGGAACTGTCCTTCCCATGGGACAATATACAGCTTGACCTTGACTCATAGACAGGTGTGGAATGAGTGGCCAACCGAAAACAAGATCTGCGAAAACGAAAGCAAGACAAGCCCAACTTGTGCAAACAACTTTGACTACTCAGTCACGTAGATCATCTGTCCCAGCTGTTTTGGGAGTACAAGAAAAAGAAACTGCACAGCCGGCATCAGAGGATATGGCAGAGGGAGGATCAGATACCTTCTTACAACAAATGTTAGAACAATTTGCAATATTGAACAAGAAGGTGGATGACCAATCGGCAAAAATAGATCAAGCCACATCCTCTATTACTAAATTGTCTGACCACGTTGCACAACATACACAAGTTATTGGGAATCTCAAGGAAGCAACTGTGGAAAATCGGAGACTGGCTGAAGCAGCCAATGAAAAAGCAGAACAAGCTAATCAAAAGTTGAGGCTATAAAAGGGAGGTAAGGCCACTACACAAGCACATTAGTGATCAGCAGGCTTACCTGTCTATGGTGGAATTGAGAAACCGGGAAAACAATCTGAGATTAAGAGCTATCCCAGAGCTTGAACAGGAAGATTTAATCGGTTATCTGACAGCAGAATTTTCCAAGTTCTGGGGTATAGAAGAGGACAAAGATTTTAAGATCACAACTGCGTTCAGATTAGGAAGAGTCGTGAGGAGGGACAAGCCCAGAGACTGTTTGATTATTTTGAGATCCAAGCAGGAGAGAGATAAAATACTAGGCCTTCATTTTAAGAAAACACTTGATATCCAAGGCAAAAGAGCAGAATTTTATAGAGATATTCCTAAACAACTTTTGGATCTCAGAGCCACATATACAGACCTAGCAAGACTACTGAGAGGAAACGCGATTCCATATAGGTGGGAGTTCCCCAAGGTTTATCTTTTAATTTTAAAGGAAAGAAAATTAAGATTAAAACATCAGAAGATAACCAGAAGTTCCTGCACGACCACGGAGAAGACCTTCAGAAGGGAGCAGCAGCCTCTTGGCCACCGCCACTGCCTGGAAAAGCATCGATACCTACACCCTCGGGGCCAGAAGAAAAGGAAGACACCCCACTATAGGAACAACAGATTGATTCAGAATGTCTCTGCAGTTGTACAGTTGGAATATAAATGGCGGGAATTCCCCGGAAAAAGACGAAGGATTTTTCATATTTTGAAAAAGAACAATTGGATATTGTTTGCTTGCAGGAAACGCATGTGACTAGGCTCCATAGGAAAGTGTTAATCAACAAAAGACTAGGCCAAGAATTTATTTCATCAGACAAAGTCAAGAAAAGAGGCGTAGTGATTTATGCAAAGGAGAACCTGTCACCGAAATTTCTGTTTAAAGATGAGCAAGGAAGAATTTTGGCAATCGAGATACAAACACAAGGAGAAAAGTTTTTGATTTTAGGAATATATGCACCAAATGAGGGGAAATCGGAATTTTACAAGAAGCTGCATGAGATAATGCTGGACTATCTGGACTATACCAACATCATAATGATGGGCGATATGAATGGGGTGGTCTCTACTCACATGGATAAGTCACAAAATCAAAATTTAACTAAAGACGGCAGACTACCTAAAACCTTCTTTGAACTAACTGATAACATGGACTTGATTGATATTTGGAGGACAAGGAACCCCTTAGGTAAAGAAGGAACATTTTTTCTGAGGCCCACCTATCATGGACAAGAATCGACCAAATATGGACAACTAGAGGACTGGCACCTAAGATCAGAAAAGTGGAAATCTGTCCAAAGACTTGCTCCGACCATAATGCTTTGAAAGTGGAATTGAGACTTACTCCAACCGGTTCTTTCAGATGGAAAATGAATGACACCCTACTAAGAGATCAGGAGATTGTGAAGAAGGCCCAAAAACTTTAAAGGACTATTTTGAAATCAATTTGAACACTTCGGTGGAAAAGAGAACAATCTGGGACGCAAGTAAAGCTGTAATGAGGGGGTTTCTGATACAACAGAACACAATCAAGAAAAACTTTGGAATGGGAAAAAGATAGGATATTAGAGCAGCTAAGAGAAGGAGACCACAAACTGAGATTAAAACCAAAATCAAAAGAGGTTTTAAGAGAAATCAAATTCCACCAAGCTCAATATGCGAAATTGATAAATCAAGAAGTGGAATGGAAAATCAAACAAATGAAACAAAGATC